TTTTATTGATTTTTTACAGAGAGGAAGGGAGAGGGATAGAGAGTTAGAAACATCGATGAGAGAGAAACATTGATCAGCTGCCTCCTGCACACTCCCCACTGGGGACATGCCCACAACCAAGGTACATGCCCTTGACCGGAATCGGACCCGGGACCCTTGAGTCCGCAGGCTGACGCTCTATCCGCTTGAGCCAAACTGGTCAGGGCATGGAGCGAGGTTTTACTGGGGATGATGCGAATGTCCTGGAATTCGATCTGGGAATGGCTGCACACCTTCGTGCTGATACTAAGCCCACTGGATGTTAAAGGTGAATTTCAGAGAATGAAAATTTTATCTCAATTTCTAAAAGCAGAGAACTTTTTTTTGTTTTTTTACAGAGAACTTCTGTTTCCGGTTTGAGGTGCAAACAGCGGGGAAGTCATCACTCTTATGCTCACAAGAAGAAACAGGTGGACCAACTAAAAATCAACAACTTTTCTTTACCCACCAGAGCACGGAGGCCATGGGACAAGCCTCCACCTGAAATCTGCAGACGATTGAGTCCAGAGGTCACAGCTGAGCTGCGTCCGAGCGCTGGCATTGGGCCTGATGCACTGGTACCCCAGGAGCCTCCTCAGCGCCCCAACGAGCAGCCACCTTCTGTCATGACTTAGCATCACGCTTGTAATCTAATAGATGCTCCCAAAACATCAGCTGTCCTGAGTTCAGTCATTATTCTGGACGGAGACGGCTGCACTGTTTGGGCTGTTCTCAAAAGTGTTATGAACAACAAACATGCATCTATCAACAAGTGAATCTAAGAATCAAGTGAATAAATAATCTGGTGATCATAATAGAATCAGGGACATAAAAAAAAAAGTGTGTGTGTGGGGTCTCCTTCCCATCAGAACCCAGGGCTCCCCTCCCCGCTGGGAAAGGCTCCTCTGTCCTGACTCCCTGGGGGAGGTGGTGCCTGTGTGCTCAGCCCAGGACCTACAAACCGGCCCAGACGCTCCAGGGGACTGGGTTACAGGAAAGCCATCCTGGGAGCCTGTGAGTAATAAAGGCGGCTCACATTTGCATGTGGCAGGCACCCTTCTGAGGACTTATCGTATCAGACACCAAGCGCAAGCAGCTCACAGGTTCCGCCGTCAACCCATTCTCCAGATGAGGTGGCTGAGGGTCAGCAAGGGAGGCACTGGGGCTCTAGAGCCCCCTGGGCACTGCGCTGCGCTGCCCGTCGTGCTCCTAGCACTGAAGCATAAATAAGCTCTTCGGTTCCCCCCAGTCTTGGTGATCTGAGGTTTGTGTGCACGCAGAGAGAGGGAGCAGGTAGTGCAGACACGTGCTGAGTTCTGTCCCCACGCAGTGGGCAGCTTTGTAAGCCCGTGGTCCAGAAGCTTAGGGAACCTTGGGGCTGAGACCAAACTGGTCATCGCTGCGGGTTATGGGCTCTGTTTAGGCCAGGGGTCCTCAAACTACAGCCCGCGGGCCACATGCAAATACAAATATTGTATTTGTTCCCGTTTTGTTTTTTTACTTCAAAATAAGATATGTGCAGTGTGCATAGGAAATTGTTCATTGTTTTTTTTAAACTATAGTCCGGCCCTCCAATGGTCTGAGGGACAGTGAACTGGCCCACTGTTTAAAAAGTTTGAGGACCCCTGGTTTAGGCTGATTAAACAACAACACTTAGACATGAAAGAGAAATAAACACGGGTTTCTGTTGTGGGCACTGTGGGATTCTGTATCCACTTCCTGACTCCCTGGTCTCCCCTGGGAGACGACCATGATACATCCCTTCAGACAGGGGCACGCCTGCGTTTACTTCTAGAAGAATCCTACCTCAGACAGTTTCTTTCTTGCAGACCTTATCAGAGCTTTTGTCATGCACTGGTGATTTAAAAATTTCCCCAGGAGGAGAGGTAGGTAATGTTTTGGAAATTCCTTGAACCCAAACACCACCTCTCTTGCTAAAACCACCCGCCCGAGCTCGCGTTAGCACTGGGCTCCCTGCCCTAAAGCAGAGCAGCAAGGAACTGGCCAAGGTCTCCCGGCCCCTCAGCTCCGTGGGACCCTGGGGTTGTTGCCGAGGGCGGTGGGGGCAGGGGAACGACCTAAGAAACAAACCAGCCTCGTTCCAAAGATTGTAAAATTTATTGTGTAAGTATTGCAGTTCTTCAGAACGTCATCCTTGCCACTAACGATTATTGGTAACAACAAGCAATTCATCAGGCCCGTGGACTGGCATCGAATACAACGGCTGCCGCAGCAGCGGCGTGAGCACGGCCCGAGTGACATGGACAGTTTGCAGTTTAACGAACTCGTGACACAGGGCGGCAAAGGCGAGCCATTCCGGCGCCAGGGACACGCGTGGGCGCCGCCATCCACACGCCACCACGGAGTCAGATGGCAAGGTGAGCGCGTGGCCTTCGCAGCCCCCCAGGCACAGCAACATCTGAAGCACAGGTTCCGGAGGATAACAGTTCTTTCCTCGTCATCGGGATGTTCTACGGACCTGGGAGCTTTGCGCTGCGCGTAGAAAAAAGAAACCTCTGAAACGTAGAATTCACAGACAAGACAGACAAGGACAGGGGCGGCTTCTGTGCTCGCCTGGCCCTGGTGCGCGCTGGACGGGGAAGAGGTCACTCTTAGCTCTTTGCACAAACACTGGGCTTTGAGGGAACACGGACGGCTCACGGTGGACTTTGCTAAGTCCGTGTGCGTGGACCGGGCTTTGTGGGAACGGGGTGCGGGGGATGTGATGATTGACAAACAGGAAAACAGTGAGCATTACAGACAGCTGAGCTCCACCGCCTTTTCTGAGCCCAACCTGGTCCCCCTCCAACCAGCCACTTCTAAAGACCCCCAACTCCATGGCAACAGGGGCCTCCTGAGGGGTGCGCAAAGGCTTTTCAAAGATAACAGCCTGACAGTCGACACTTAGAGCAGCGGTTCTCAACCTGTGGGTTGCGACCCCTTTGGGGGCCGAACGACCCTTTCACAGGGGTCGCCGAAGACCATCGGAAAACACATATATAATTACATATTGTTTTTGTGATTAATCACTATGCTTTAATTAGGTTCAATTTGTAACAATGAAATTGGGGGTCACCACAACGTGAGGAACTGTATTAAAGGGTCGCGGCATTAGGAAGGTTGAGAACCACTGACCTAGAGGAAATCGTGCCCCCCGCACCCCAGCTCGGGGGTTCACAGAGAAACCCAGAGCTTAGCTACGGTGCCAATTTCTGGAAACACACACCGTTCTCTTGAGATGCACGCCCGCAGCGGTCACCTGCTGGGCACGAGCCCAGGGACAGGCCGCACGGCGACCTGGCCTGCAGCCCTGACTGGGGCTGATCAGAGGGGCGAGCTCTGCCCTCCAGCCGGCTGAGGTCGGTCGCTCAGCTTCCTCCTAACTCCGGAAGTACAGTAGATCGGACCGTGCCACCGGCGACGAGGTTCAGAGGACCTGGGGCCATTGCGCACTGGCTTTTGGCTGACGCTGCTCACACCAAGGAGGCCCACTTCCAGGTTTCCACCCCGGGGGGCAGTAAGCACAGTGCTGGCCAGGAAGGCTGGGGCAGGAGGGGTCGCCTGGCCCAGGGAGGACGTGCAGGGTGGAGGGCAGGTGGGCTGGGACGAGGGAGGACAAAAAGAGGGGTTTAAGAAGCAGCAGCCCTTTGCGGGCCAGGAGCGGGAGGCGGGTCCGGGCGAGCCAGGCACCGTCAGGAACGCCAGCCTGGCGACCGAGCCCAGTGTTTCCTCAGTAAGGCACTAGGGAGACTCCGCGGAAAGGTTCCCTTTAAAACTGTTCCCTACAAATTGTCCCTGTCCTGTCAGCTCAGATTGCAGGGGCTTCTCTGCTCGTCCTTTGAAAAGAACCCTCTTTGAGGGCAGCAAAGTTCAGGCTGAAGACCCACGGAGAGGCAGGTGCTTGGTCAGCGCGGACACCTCTGCCAGGCTGGCCGAGGACGCAGTGGCCCTGCCTGGTGCTCTCGCCTGTTCGTAAAATTTGTATATAAAGAGTTCAAATGGTCAGAGCTTCAAAACTGTTCCCAGGTTTTCATTTTTCAAGTAATAAAATAGTTGCTTAAAAACAATAGTTATTGCCTCCTATCGTTCTCTTATGTCAGTCGGCTAGTTGGCATTCTGCCAAAAACGAGGACACCTCTGTGGGGTGGGGTCGGGGGGCTGCTCTTCAGGCTGGGGGGTCACCCACCATGGAGATCAGCAAGTCCTCACCCGGAGAACGGCCTCCAGCTCCAGCCCCCGTCCTCGGCAGATGCCAAGAGACCCCCACGCCACTTCCTGCCACTCATCTCTACTCGCACACACGCGTGCCACGCACACCCACGAGGGGTCTCCTCACACCCAAATCTACTCAGTGAGACCCCGGGGAACAGGAATTGTGTCTGAGGAAGATGCTTATGGAAACACAGGGAAAGACACACATGGAACAGGACTGTCTCCAGGAGGAACGCGGACGGAGAGAAGGCAGAGGACCCGCTTCCAAACAGGGGTGGGGAACCTCTTTCCATTCATGGGCCGTACAGAACCACCACCTTAAAAGCCGGCCGCCGTGTTCGGTCAGACATTTAACTCACTCACCCCTACTGCCGTGGCAGGGCCAGACGCAATGACTTCGCGGGGCTCACAGGGCCCCTGGGCCGCCGTCCGCAGCCCTGGCCTAAAGCCTCGAGCGCGGGGTGTGACCGTCTTTCGTCTCAACCCTTCCGCATGTCCTGGGAGTGTCGCTTTCACCTCTGGTCCTCTGTTTTTGGCCCATTAAGTGGGAATCATCCGTAGAGAGCAAGACAGGGACAGGGTCACAGTCCTAGGACTTTGGGCCTTTCCTGTAGCCAGCGGACCGCACCGACCTTAACCGACCAGCTCTGGAGCCACCATCGAATTCTGCACAAGCCGCCTCTACCCCTCGGCGTGTCAATAGCAGCACCTTCGCCCCTGCCTATGGGGACCTTCATGATTAAAAAAAAAAATAGGAGGGAAAACTTAAATTCCTTCAGTAACAGTTTATTTTCAGTTGGGGAAGGCAAAGCCACCACCTGGAACTCGGTGCCTCTATGTCATGCGATTCAAAGGCTGTTCTGACCCCGAGGAGGAAACGTGTCCCCTTCGGGCGGGAATGTGTAAGGAGGGAAGAGCCTACCCCAGGCACAGCGCCCACCGCGGGGCAGAGCGGAGCGGAGAGGAACGCGCCCGGCCCAGCCTCTCCGCCCAGGCGGAGCCCCCTCTGCCCACCGCCGGGCCTGGCATCTCTCCCTTAGAGTCTCGACAAACGTGATAAAAGTTTCCGTCAAACAAGCACTGACATATTTATATTAAAAAATAGTGCAAAAGCTCAACATTTATATAAATAACTCTAGACCCCTGCTTTGTCATTGCTTTCTTTACAAGGTAATACACACGTTCTGAGATGGCACGCCAAAGGGGCCACTTTCTCTTCCAGCTCAGAAAACAACCTGTGTGTGTTTTAATAGGACTCTTCTAATACAAAAATACTCCTGCCCTCGCACATACAGTTTCTCTTACTTTATATATACTTTTATATATAATATTGCAGATCTTTAAACAAAGGTTTTGTGCAAATATGTTTTTAAAGTTAAGTGAAATCATCATCAACAAACGAAAGGATGCCTTCACGAAGCTCGACTAGCAAAAGAAAAAACTAGGGGAGAATCGGTTTTTTCTCTTTTGCCTTCAAGACACGGCTCAACAAAGAAACACGGTGTGTGTGTGTGTGTGTGTGTGTGTTCTGTTTTGCAAGCTTTCTTAGCTTGTGCATCCGGACCAGACAGACATGTAACTATTTTTATACACAGGGAGGGGGAGGGGATGGCGACGCGCGTGTCCGGCCCGGCCTCCTCTCTCTTCTTCGAAGTGCGGAGTGTTTTGCCTTTTCACCCACCGCTGCCCTGGCCGCCGCCGGGACCCTAAAGAGGGTGTCCCTTCTGCTTCTCCTTCTCCTGGCTCCAGGCGGCGGCGCTCTCCAGGGCCGCGAGGTGCGCGGGGTGCAGCCGGGCCCCCTCCAGCAGGGAGGC